TTCCTTTACAATTTCAAATTATTGTATTAATGAATTAAAAAATCCTTAAAGTCTAAAATAAACATGGTGAAACACGGTGGTGGCAGCGTCATGCTGCGGGGATGGAGTTTGGAGTTATTTTGTGTTGGTCAGGCAGGAGTTTTGTGTTTTTGCTGACTGTAGCAGTACCAGGGGGTATTTAAACATTTCACCAGACCCTCCACGCAAACAGGAAGTCAATCTTTTATGCTGGATTTAAAAAAAGAAAGAAAGTTGGAGGAAGAAAGGAGAGGTTCTTTATCTTTCATTTAATTTTCAAACACATAGTTTTACAGTATTATACACTGCAAAAATACAAATCTAAATAAGTAATGTTTCTTAAAATAAGCATATTTTTTCTTGAAATGAGGAGATAAGTGAGACACTTTGCAAGACAAGACAAGACAATTTAATTTAAAATAAGAAGAAACAATGACGTTTTCTTATTTCAAATGCATATTGTCTAATTATCTTATTTTTTTAAATACCAATTATATTAAGAAATTATATTATTTTCCTACTCAAATTAAAGAAAAATACACTTAATTTAAGAATATTTTTTTCTTATTTCTAGATCTTTTTTGCAGTTTAAAATGACAACATAATTACCGTATACATAGTAACATATGTATTAGTAAAACTGTTTATGTGGTCTGTTCTTTGGTTAATCCCCCCGGTGGTCTGGATTGCTTCCATTTTTTTAGAGCGAGTTTGCTGTTGTTTTTACTATTGCCTAATTTTCTTTCTGATTGTGGCTTTTTTTTTTTTCGCTTTCAGTATTTTTTGTTTGCATTTGCTCTTTTGATTGTCGAGTTTTGCTTCTATTTCAGTGATTGCAGCATTTTTTGGTTGCATTTTTATTTATTTTTTTGCATTGTCACCCGTCTGCCACCATAATTAAGCCTTAATGTCATGAACACATTTTAACAGTCGGTCTGTTTAAAAAGCCTTTCAGAGAGATAAATCTGGGAGTCATCTGCATAGTAATGTATAGAAACCTCACGTTTCCTGAAGGTAGCAGTAAACGTAAAGGATAAAGAGAGAACAGCAGGGAGCCAAAACTGAACCCTGTGGAACCCCACGTTACATAAAAGATACAGTTTATCAGAGTATGCATGCTCTGCCAAATGACATTTAAAACACTGCAGTCAGTGTAGTAGGAAAAAAAAGTATTCAACTATTCACCCTAGTTAAATAAACGGAGATTGATGGATTTCACTCAGTCGGCACATTATTTTCATATCTTTGCAAAGAGAGAACAGTTCATCATACAGCTCTAATGCTATGGCATTCAGCCCTGTTCTGCCTGGGCAGCGTCCGTTCCCTCTTACTTACAATAATGGAAAGTAGTCAGAGTCAAAACAAATTACAAAAACAAAAACACCATCACGCAGGAGAATTGTGTTGCCTTGCAGGTGAAAAAGGCCGAGTGAAAACTTTAATAGTGAGTAAATAGGATAAATTAATATAGGAAATAAGAGAAATTTAAATTTTCTGACCACACCAGTTCCTAAAACACACCTACTTCAACTTTCTGAAGACACCTCATAGGCCTCGCTTGTTAACAGCATCCAAAAAGATGAAATAGAAGTAAAATATACCATAAATATACCATATGTTATGTGTTCTAAATCCACAGGATACCTGGGCCTTCAGGGGTCGCCTGGTGCAGGGAGAGAGGACTTCGCTCTGAGGACACATCGACTGCTGACACGCAGAAACAGCACAATAAAATATTAATGAACTAACCTCTTTTTGCTAAATGCAAGGTAAAGGGATTTAATTCTAAAAACTGATTGTAATTAAGTACAGATAACTACATGTAAATGAGGAGAGATTGCGTGTGTGTTTGTTAGAGGGAGGAGACTGCAGCACTTTACGCCAAGAGGCCTTGATCTTCCAGCACCTTTTTAGTCAATGTTTTCATGATAAAGTGGATTAATCTTGATGCTTCTTTGGAAAATGAAATAATTTACAGTGGTTGATTATAAACTTATTGAGTCGTATCGGTTGTTTTTTTTTAAATGTCTACCAATAAAACACATTTTCCTTTTTCTTTACCATCAAAATAAAATCCACAGCATTATAAAATCTGACACTTAACTGTTTGATTTAACCAAACCTGTTTAATAAAGTAAGAAAGTGTTTCTGATTTGCTGGTTTCTTGTTGAAACAATAAAGCTAATGGAGTGTGATTTTTGTTGTTGGGATGTAACTCGACTTATAAACCTTTTTTTTTCCTGAAATTGCAAAACAAGGATCTCATCATACTTAAATGTGAAACATAACTATTAATCATTAAAGATGTGATTTAAAAAAATTGTACTCTTTGGAATCATTTGGAACAGTCTGCAATGTTTAGCTTTAGCTTTCCTCTGTGATGGAAACATCAGGCGCTTCCTGTAGCCGTCCACCAGTCTGTCTGTGGAAGGATTAACTCAATACTCACTTTCAGCCTGGAGATGTAGGTTGGGATTATAGAATTGGATGTTTGTGCCGCCATTTAAGGTCATTCCACACAATCTGGGCTTTGACTAGGCGCAGGATTTAGCTTTTCTTACTTCTTGGTCTGTCTGTCGTAGTCCTGATACGGCTAATGTTTCCTCCAAAGAAAATATTATCCTTGAATCTGTGGTTTTTGTGGCTTTTTTTCAACAAACAAACCCTAAATTAAACCAGTTATGGTATAAACCTGTTCTTACACAGAGAAAACATGATTAGATTATTTCTTTTAAGAGAAAATAACTAATTAAGACACATATTGTATGCAAAGTGTTGATGAAACTTCAGTGTCTGCAAAGCCACTTCCTTTTTTTGACCCACTTTGAAAATCAGTAACAAGTATAAAAGATAAATTATTGATAAAAATTATGAAAAGTACAATATACAATTAAAAACAATAGAGCATGCAAAAAAGTTAAAAAGAAAATAAAAAGTACAAGGAATAAATTATAAAAATACAAATATTAAATGAAGTATGAAAAACAAGTATTAGAAAAAATACATTAATAATAAATAAAAATGATTCTTCAAACACAAAGACAAAATAAAGTAGGCTAAACAAATAAAAAAAAATAAATCTTTATAAATAAATTACAAAAAGTGAAAGATACAAAAGAGACAAAAACAATAGATTACGCAACATAAATTAAAAGAGGAAAAAATGTGTCAATTACTAATACAAATATCCAAGGATAAAAAAATACAAACAAGTTGACAAAGTATGCAAAATGAATATAAAAAAATATGTAAATAAATACCTCAATTATTATTAGAATGATAAAATTTGCATAAAATGCAAATATTAAATAAAGGATGAAAAAACAAGTAAATAATAAATAAAGCAATACATATTTTTAAAATCATAAATCATATAAAAAAAATACAAATACTAAAATAGTATGCTAAATAAGTTTAAAAATCAAAGAGGAATAAATAAATGATTAAAAAATGTAAATAAAAAAATATAAATTATAATAATTATTCCCTGTTTTGTTGTGGTCTGATGTGCTGTGGGTGTTTGTTTCTTGCAGGTGTGGAAGCACACTTCTAGTAGTTTCTGCTGTTTTTCTGTTTTCTTTTTTCCTCTTTCATTCTTTCTCTCTCTCCACTTTATTCTTATCCCCTTTCCCATTCACTCTACCTTTTCTGTCTCTGTCTCCATTGCATCCGTTTATATTTTTTGTTTTTTTCTCACAGTCACTTCTTATAAAGTTTCATACACAGCTTCCTTATGGTAACAGCCAAGTTTATCCGGTAGGGGGACGTCAATTATCAATGCTATACTGGCAAACAGTACATAAATAAATAAATAAAAATAAATAAATAAATAAATGAGGGGGGTAAAAAGAAGGACAGAGCATGTGTATACAAAAGTATTCAATAATAAAAAAAAAAAAACCTGAATGTGATACTGACATGTTTAGAAAAACAGAATGTACCTTTTTGTCCTGCAGACAGGTCAGATTTTGAGCTCGTTCACATCCTAATCACTCCCAGATTCTTTGCTCTGTTCCAGTTTTTTTCCTGGCAAACGCGGCTCGCAGCTTTGCCCAGTTTCCTTTAATGGGCGACACTTTCCAGGTCCAATCAGAACTCATAAGTTCTAAGGCTGAAATCTACAGAGACCCATTTACTCCATATTGAACATCTCTTCTTAGAGCTCAGTGACTTTCTGTCTGCGTAAAAGCATTAAAAAAAGGTAAGAAGGAATTAATGCATAGGTAAAATTATGATCACCTCTATCTGGAATGATAATAAAGGGTTTCAGTGCCACCTGCACCTAATCTGCCTGGAAGGAAAACATACATTGAACATCTCATTCAGCGTGTAGGTAAGGTACAATTAGACTACACTTTACAGGCTGCTGTGTTATTCTTCATGAGGGGAAAAAAAAGTGCTGTTATTCTATAACAGAATGACTAAAGCTAAAACTGCAACAATTACAAAGATCTAAACCCCATTTAGATGAAAAAAGTAGCTTATTTAAATTTACAAATATAAACCTGCTGGCTGATTGATTGATTGTGGTGTACAGGCTAAATATCAAGTCAACAAAGAAAACCCCGAATTAGTGTCGACTTTTCCCACTGATGTCTATAACTACTTCTATTTAACATTGTGTGCTTAGTAGTAAACAAGAGAAAAAACCCTTTGTACAGATGTAAGTTAGACACATTGAAGAAAATTTTGCATTTACAGGTTAAATTCAACATAATTGAATGAACCCTTTTGGTTAAGATCTTATTGTTCTGCTAGTTTAGAGGTCATATTAGACATTAGATTTCATCCCAAAATCCAGTGCTTGAAGAAATCAGACTTTACTGTTTGTTTTTATCTCCCTCCCCTTGGTAAAAAGAAATACCAGTAGCTATCCTCTCCTAGATGAACCTTTTATTGCCCTCCCTTATTCTCCTCCTACTCTCTCCCACCTTCCCTGGCTCTACCACCTTTCTCTCTTCCATCTTTCTATCCACTCTCAGTCAAAGTCTGATAGGAGTGCAGTTCAGTCTTGCAGAGATCAGGCTTTTCTCTCTCAGAATGTCTTGGGTTCGAGTACTCATCTTGTCCTTGCTCTTCATCCTCCTCATCATCGCCTGTAAGTACCTTAACAGGCTCACATTGTCTCACATTCAGCATTGGAATTATTCAGATTTCATTTACTTGTATTATTAATATCTATAACTGGGTGTTATTAGACCATCTTGGTTTGAGTAGGGACTTTTAAATATGATTGATAACAGTGCAGACATTGTGATCAGATTTAGCGTGGGACAGCAGGGACTGATTAAGTTGCAACCGGCTGAAATTTGTCTGTCAAAGATCGTGCAAAATAAGTACTAAAGAAAGGGAAGCAGCATTAATAAGGTACCACCTTATATTCCTGGTGTGAAACATATTTTCACAGCCTGCAGCTATTATTGTTTCTTTCACCATGAATCTCAAGTCCTTAATGTCCAATTCTTATTTAAAAGTAAAAATCTCTAAAGTCTATATTAAAAACGACAGTAAAATATATTGTGATTATGAATTGGGTTATATTGTACCACCCATGACCTCAACATCAAGCTCTATTACCAATGGATTTAGCAATTTACAAGGTTTTCTCTTTTCTGTCCTTTCTTGGTTATATCAGTCACAAACTTTGAACTTTACAGCATTGTTATTAGAACAATATCAATTAATTAGTTGGAACAAGGTTTTTATCTAATATACAGACTTTCAGAGTTCATATAAATAAAATTCAATGAAGCGTCATTAATTTAAAAAGTAGCGTGTCTAATGTAAGACTAAGTTATCACTTATTACTTCTACTAATCAGAGATCATTATTGGTACAAATAGACATTTAACTCTGGGCATTAAATGATCAAAAACGCCAAAAGTATGAAGCAGCAACGGATCAGAGTTATTAAGATTTAATCACTTAGTGCCAGTAATGGCCTTTGATCTGATTTATGGTCAAATCTGACAGTTCTGTTGATTATCCTTCTCATTTTGTCAGTTAATTGATATTTTAAAACCAGTGTCAGTGTCCTTATTTATATAAAATATGGTTGAAATTGATTACCACTTAGGGTATTATGCTATCAAGGGGTGAAATAATGTTTTGCTTACATGTCCAGTCAACTCAAAGCGATCTCTCCTTGTGTTATCAAAAGAAAAGTGCAGCAAATTGCTATTAAATATGATCTTAAATAGCTATTCTCTCTATTTTTAAGAAATCTGGAATATATTTTATCTACACAGACTGATGAAAACCTGAGTTACTCTATATTTAACACAGACCCTTTTAAAGCAAAGACTCAGTTTGATAAAATCCTTGTTTAAGATTGAAAGTAGTATGAAAATAATGTTTATAGACTGTAAGCAGTGATTAAAACACAAAAACAGTCAGTGCCTGTTTGTTTTCTTCTCTCCAGCTTCTAGTGTGGTGAAAAGTGCGGCAGTGCGGGACGACCCAAAACCTCCGAATGCTCAAGGTACTGTCTGCATAACCTTTGCTCTGTGACTCTATGTTTAATGTGATCCAAATCCTGCGACTTGTGGTCTGTAGAAGCCGCACGGCACGTATTCATGGCCGAATCAGACGCCTCCAACTTCTTCAAACGCCGCAGTCGCCGTTCCCCCAAGTACTACGCCGAGCTCCAAGGTGGGTGTAAACAATCTTGTTCAGGCCATCCCTGTCACAACAATGGCAGGAAATCAAAAGAAGATTTCTTGATTTATTTTTGGTCTTAGATAGACATCTTCAGACGTAAGTGGATTGGTAGTTACTACCTAAATCAGTCTCCTCTGGGCTGGAAGAGGATTTATGTGTCTGTGGTCGTACAGGGACGTTGACTTGGTGTGTTTTAACTGCGAGCTGTCAAAGTTCAGGAGAATAACAGCAGTTGTGCGGCTCGACACAAAAACAGCTCTTGAATGTGTGTTTTATGGAGACACACAGTAACTGGAGGCTGCAGAAGGAGTCACAGGATGCTGTGGAGCGAGTCCTGCCTCCTTAGGCTTCTTAGAACAAAACGTTCTTTCTTCCATAACCGCCAAGCAAACCAGCTCGCCTCACATGTAAACACTTTAATTTGGTACAATCTGGTCGTCATAACCAACGAAAGGAGAAGTTCTTAGTAACTGAACATATTTCAGACTTCTTTTTTTTTACTTCAGGTTAATGATAAAAATACCAGTTGCCAAAACTGAGGAGGAAAACAATATTGTTAGAAAGTACAAATTGGAGAATCATCCCTTATTTTTTTCCAGGTTTTCCTCCAAGCAGATATTTTCTTGTTTTCTGAGAAACTGGCCTTGACAAGTCTTTAGGAATAAATTTTCAAATACTTTATTTTAAATGCATTTTTTATGTGCTTGATAAACAAATAAACTCTCACATTTGGATGACCAGTTGTCACTACCCAATCCGTACTGGAAGCTCATGTGCAAGCAGATATTCATCCTGGTCGCTATAAATAATATAATTATGGTAATAAAAGTATTTATTTATATCCTTAAATAACTAAATAATGCTAATACACATCTTAAAAAATAGTTTATGACTTTTCTGAGACAATTTGATTCTTTTTGCATTTTCTGCGTTTAACTGCTTGTGTGACGTCATCAGACATGCTCAGAGCAGTCTGGCAAAATTTGATTAAACCATGTTTATCTGCATTTTGGTTGTTTTTCTTTAGGTCATGCATTATATACCATAATGTTAACATGAAAGGAAAACATAAAACTCAAAAGATTAGATTTATGTTTAAATCCAAAGCTGAAAAATTAGCTCCTGGACGTAGCGTAGCATCCCTTTTCCTTTTAACAGTGTGGCAATAAGAATAATATTGTTGATACCAAAAAGAGCCCAACAGATTTTACTTTCACAAGTGGAAGTGAATCTCAGAGTACCTGGAACCAAGCACCTGTAGTTGTTTGTGAGGGTGCACTTGTGCATGTAAAGTTTATCCAAAGAAAAAATGCTCAATTGTGGTTGTGAAGAGCCGAAGATCCCAGATTCCCAAAGGGGTCGTTTGGCTTCTTCCACATTCCAAAGGGATGGACCCATTCGCCCGTTTCAATTTGCATGTTTTCAAAACAAAAACAAGGCTTTGAGAGCTACTGTGTAAAACCTCAAACTCAACGGTAATCCTGACATTTTGAATTGAAATGGCTTCCTGGATGTGAAGTGAAACGTCTTCAAACTTGGAAACAAAGTCCAGTGGATTGTTTTTTAACTGATCATCCTCACCAGCATGATTGATGCTGATAGTATATTTGGTTAATATCTGTATCAGTCAGTTCTCTACGCTTCAATATTGGTATCGTATCAGATTTTTTTTTTTTATTGTATCGGGACGTCCCTTAACAAATGGAAATTATTTAAAAGTAAAGTTTATGCAAAAATAAAATTAATTTTTTTCTGTGGAACTAATTTGCAGCTCTGCACTTTTCCTTTGCATGTGTTTGAAGTTTAATATAATTTTGTTTGCAGGGTGTTTTTTTGTTTTTGCCGAGCATTTATGAATTTGTATGGTGTTTATTCCCTCTGGTCACCATAAGTTAGCCCCGACACTGAACTCAGTTAGCAAATCCCACCATTTCTGAGACTTTTAACCACAACATAATTACATGTGATGTGATTTTACACCCCAGCAAAAAGAACGCATTAGCTACAATTTTCAAAACTGCAAAACACTAGACATTTCATAAATAAAAAAAATAGTTATCAAAATCCGCATTTCGCACCAAACAAACTTCCATTCATATGTTTATTTTCCCCAGATAAATAACTAAAGTTTACCTCAAAATAAAATAAACAAAGCAACATGGTTAAATAAGTGTACAATGCTAGCTTAGCTAGAGGCTAATTGGGATGTTTACAGCAGCCAACCTAATAGTAATAATTGGTGAATTTGGAGGAAAAAGTGCGTTTAGTGACTGAAAGCAGGCCTGTGTTCGCTATGATGTAACTCACATCTTAACACTACTGACTGTGTTGTTAAATTAGGGGTCTTAAGGAAAACACAGAGGGGCTTAAACAATTTAATGTGTACCCGGGGCTGCCATGTGCACAGGAAAGGACTTTTAATTTGGTACAAAGAGGTGCAAAGAGAGAAAAATCAACCTATCAAACCCTTGCTTCTGTAATGCTATTTAGGGATTTAGAGAATATAGAGTAAACTTGACTCCCCTATTAACCAGTAAATACGGCAAATATTTGACAACTAATAATTAATCTAATGGTCAAAACTATCAGATGGTTCAAAAAAAACATTTTCTATATTTTTTTTGCTTCATTTTAGTTGCTTTTTGGGTAGGAAATCACCCACTTTACATGCCAAATTATCTGCTGACGGTGAGTTCATGTTACAGGAAACATGAACTCAGGCACAGAAAATCCTTTTGCAGCGTGCATGGATGACAATAAGTTTCAAAAGCTGTGATGATATAAAAAGTTTTCTTCTGAAAGGGAACTCGTGAAGCTGATCATTTGGAGAAAAACAAAAAAACATGTAGAAAAGAAAAGCCAATACTGCTTACAGTAGGTAATAGCTTTTCAAATATACATGTGCTTAAGTTTTAAATGTCTAACTGTCATTTATTTTCCTCATTACAGCCGAGCAGAGGATGAAGCGAGCTGCCAGCGAACGAAGGAGAGAATACAACGAGGAGCAGAGAAATGAACATGAGAACTATGTTGAAGAGGATCGTGATGGTAAGACCTGATCTCAGTTACTGTGCCTTGTTTAACCACCTGCGTCACCATACATCAGCGGACCGCTGAGGATTTTATTCTAACATTATATTTGACAGACCAACAAAATATTCAGTTAAAGCAAGTGAATATTTTGCCCATATTTGTACGTCTCGAAACTGAGATTGTTACACAATCTCCTGCAGAACACGACTCAAGTATGAAGTCAGAATTCTGCACAAGCATAATAAATATACAAGCTGGACGACAAAACTTCAGCCAGATCAATTATAACATCCTCTCCCACAGTTTTGACATTTACAATAGTTTATTAATGTAGATTTTGTGATGTTTTTTTTTTAACAAACTGTTTCAGTCACTGCTTCATCAGTATCCAAAGTCCATGGAGGATAAAATAAGATTAATGTCAACATTTGTCTAGTGTCATTATTACAATATTCTGTGTTTGCTGTGTTGCTTACATAGTGTACAGAAATCTGTCTAAATGTACTAATTAAGGCTGAATCAGAGCAAACAATGCTGACTGCTTATGCTCCTGTTTGGGGTTTGAAAGTTTACAAGGCCAACATGGATGTAGTACATCTTCACTGAAAGGTCTACGGAGGCCATGGGGTGCAAAGACATGATTTCATAGCAAAATTCAAAAATCTAGCAAACATAAAAACAAAAAAAAGAAATTAGGCTGACTCACAACACACAAAAAACATCTTTGAAGACAAAATGCTGGTATCACCAATATAGATATCAGTAAAATGAACACGCCCTGGAAAAACGAAATATGCTGTAAGTACTTACATGATGCCAACGTACAAAACAAATGTTAATAAATATCAAAAACAATTGCAGGTTTAGAAAAGCTGCAAACTAGGAAAGAATAACAAAAGTGCTCCAGACCACTAGAGGAGGCAATCATCAACTCATATGGGACCAGAATATAGACATTGCTGCAAATTAGTGTCTAAGGTCCCTTTAAAACATTAATGGGATTCCATTTAAAAGACAGGAAAGAAAGGGAAGGTAAGTTTTCCTTTTAATCTTCCCAAATCTCTCTTAGCATCCTATTTATGCATTTAATAAGGGTTTGGTCGTATTTGCGTTAATGATTGTCTGACCCTAGTGGTCCAGAGCACTTCCAATATAGCAGCTAGTTTGCAGCTTTTGTTAACTTGCAGTTCATTTGTTACCTGCAGAATTTTTCGCATATATTTTTTCTTTTTTTTCTTTGCTTGTGGTATTTTTTTGCGTTTTAATTTACTTTATATGTCTCATTTTTATGCATGCTAGTTTATTTTCTTTTTAAATTGCACGTCTCGTTTTTGCATTTGCAGGACTTTTGAAAATTTGCTGTGCAATCCTTTAGTTGCACACTGTTTGCACCCCGTAGATTACTTCATAAAAGTAAGGCTTTTAAAACCAGTGCAAACCCAGCAGATCTTCTCTGAAAACCAGACACTTTCGCAACAGGCTTGGAACAAAGGAACACATTAAGACACAGCTTCAGTTAGGATATGGAGAGGATGACCCTGCAGACCACAGGAGGACGCCTGGGATGCTGCACATGCTCAAGGTGTCCATTTGTGGTCCACTAAAAACTGACAATCATCCCTGCAGTGGTCGGTAGGCTGTTATATGGCTGCATTTATAGTTTCTAAACTAAGAACTAATTACCATAAAGATTTGGCTTCATACGCGAGATATTCAGGGAGGTTTGAGAGGAAAACAAAAAAATAGCGGCCAGTTCAATTTAGATGGAACCATTAGGGATCAATTTCAGCTTTCTGCTGAGAAACAAAATGCATAAGACAGGGATATAATGATAGATACGTCTATTTTCTACCATTTTGACATAAAGATTCTCAACAAATTGCCTTTAATTTTAGGAGTGTTAAATCTAATTTAAATTATCCCAGACTTGCCAGCAACTGACTACAGCACCATATGATTAAAAATGCAAAATCTTCAAAAGAAGGTTGTGGTGGAAACCAAAATTGCCCCCTGTGCAGGCAAGAATAGTAGAATGAGAGGCAAAGGAGAAGCCGAGCATCGCTACCCAGGCCAAGTCTGGCACTTTAGGCATCTTAAAGCAGACATGAACAGATCATAAAACTGAGCTCTGAATACCAACCGTTACCTAAACTGCTGCAATAAATCTTATCTGTCTCTTTAGATATGCAAAAAAGTTAATCAATTTAGTTCTTATTTAAGAAAACTAGAATAAGAAATTGGGTAAAAATAACAGTCAAGCCAAAAGTCTTCCATGCCAGAGGTACCATTTCTTTTTAAGAAGGACAGAATTCAACCTGTGGTTGGTATGACAACGCTGAGCCACCAAAGGAATTCATTTCAGAGCCGAGTTGGCAACGCAAGTGGTACTCTGATAACCTTAGACCTGGTGTAAAAGCAGAGGACAGGATTGCATAACAGTGTTCTGATTACAGATGCTTATTTTGTTTTTATGTGGCTGACTGGGTGGTTTATTATCCATCTAGTCAGTTTAGAAGAACAGAAAATCTGAATTGAAGCAATAAGGAGATTTCCCTGAGAGATAAGTTATCTATACTGGGGAAAAACACTGTCTTTAAATCACATAATGGACACAAAAAAAAGATGAAATAAATTGAACTTTATTGGAGACATTAACTCTCTGCATAACCCACCCCCTTTATGGAGCAGTGGGCTGCCACTGTGCAGCACCTGGGGAGCAATCAGGGGTTCTTGCTCAGAGAGCCAGAGTGGCAGTCTGTGGGAGTGGGTTTCAAATTCACAACCTCAGGAGTTCAAGCCCTATCCCCTAACCCCTAGGCTGCCACTTCCTCAAAATGTGATGTGATTCAGATATTTTATTTTAATTATCAGCTGTAATATCCATCCATTTTCTGACACTCTTAATCCCAAGAGGGGTGGGGGACGCCCTGGACAAGTCGCCAGTCCATCTCAGGGCAACACAGAGAAAAACAACCATTCATGCACACACTCACACCTCAGAAGTATTTAGAGAAGCCAATGAACCTAACAGTCATGTTTTTGGACTGTGGGAGGAAGCTGGAGTACCCGGAGAAAACCCACACATGCTCAGGGAGAACATGCAAACTCCATGCAGAAAGACCAGCAGTGCTATCCAACAATTCATACTCCTGAACTGGTTTGTTCTACACCAAACAAAAATCAAAAAGCATAAAAAATGCAACCCATCCTCAAGGGGATGGGTCAAATGCAGAGGTACATTTCTCCAATGTGAGATTAACAAAGTTCAATTATTTAATTACTTATTATTTGGTTCCCAACATGGCTTGAAGATTACCTAATCTGAGCAGGGGTTGAGGAATAAAGGGCATTTCCCTGTGGGAGTGTCTTGCAAATGTGGCAAAGATCCAGCATGGACATTGATCTGCAATGTCCAAAATTGATAGCTATCATGGCTTATGTCAGGTTGTGTGGAGGTTTTGAGGACCAACACACATACTGCTGTGTGTTGGGGCAGCAGTATTAGAGCCAGCGATACCAACAGACTTGATAAAATCATCAGGAGGGCTGGTTCTGTACTTGGACTCAGGCTGGAGCACCTTTTCTCACAGGCTGCTCCAGCTCCGCTGTCGAAGGGACAGATACAGGAAATCTTTCCTGCCATATGCCATCACATTGTACAATAAAAAATAATAAAAAAAAAACCCTTGTTTCAGCATACAGTAACCAGCACTGTACTGTACTGCACTCCATGTTTTAATA